ATCCATGTTAATAATTAAAGCGATGTGAGTGGTGTTCATTTGAGAAATCCAAATAAAACAAAAAATAAACCGGAATGAAAGAAGCTAAGCTGCCTAACTTGTGAGACAATAAGGGCATGAAATGCATGTATTGGTGCTACAGTTAGCCAGGGCGTTATTTCCTGTTCTGATTGTGGGATTTGTGATATTTTCCACTGCAGACAGATGAGCTTTTGGGGGGGGGAAAGAAGGGTGAGGCAGGAGCAAGGAGCCTTGTTTGGAAATTGTTATGTTTTAGTTTGTATTAAAGTAGTGTCACCTAGAGGCTCCAACCAAGAATACAGCCAAGGGGTGCTCGGCACCGTGAGCACACACGTGCCCAGAGGCAGTTGCAGAGGTAGAGCAAGGTGCAGATACAGAGAGGTGCCAGAGGGCAAGAACAGATCAGGAGCCCCAGTTTTGGGCTGTATTTGGACTGTTCAGATTTTTGACTGTGTGTAACTGCAAAGGAGTGTTTGGCCTGGGTAGATCTCTGACACCTCACTCCTCGTCGTCAGATGGTCTCCTCTCTAGGTGTCCACCGGTGACAAAAGAAGACATGGGAGAATGACAGTCAGTGTTACACTGGCAATTACCTGCTCATCTGGGCATCAGCTGAAGAAGTTATGATAGGGTCAGTAGATTTAAAGGACTGTGTGGACTCTGTGTCAGCTACCAGTCAGGTGGGATGACTGCTTCAGAAACATTAGACCCCTGCAAAACTGTAAAGCTGGCTTGAGGGTAAGCAACAGAAACTAGCCACTCAAAGCCCAGTTGTGGGAAACTTGGTGCCAGTGCTTGGAGTGAAAAGTTTTTTTGAGAAAGCCAGCACCTGGTGCTTTTCTGCAGTAGTTGATAGATTTTCAGTGTCTAATACGGAGATAGCTGCTTTATAAAGGTAGTGTTTTAGACACCTGGCCTTCTCAACAAGTGATGTGGAAAATCACCAGGAAGGTATAATTCCAGTTTTTACCCTCCCCCACAACATGCAAAGTACCAATGCTCTAGGGATGCGTACTTCACTAAACCATCTGAATCTCTCCTTCCTCAATCAGTGAAGACATGTAAACAGAGTATCAGATACACATACAACTGCTTTAATGACAACATAAACATATTTAAAATACAGCATTTTCAAACAATGCCACAAAGCATGTATAAATTACAGTAATTCACTAGTATTAATTTACTATGCGGAGCTCACTTTTTATTAGGCAACTTTTATTAGAATTAACTAATAGTCTGTGTCTGACATGAAGTCTGTAACTATTCCAAAGAGGGTGGGTATCTGCCTGGTTCTGTTTTCATAGTACTGGGATTAAGAGAAGCTGTTTAGACCTGAGTACCAACATACATCTCTGACATGAGTGGTGGTGTATTACCAGTGGTTTCAGTACATTTGCCAGCAGCTAAGAAATCCTTCCTCTTTATTCCTTGATTGCAGTTTCACTACATCATAGTTTGAGAATTAATTTCCCTCCATCTCTTCCTCTTTGCTCTATGGCTTCCTCTGCTGTTTGGCCTTTAATGCTGACCAGTAGTATGTATAGGTTCATTAACACTATTATAAATTTAGTCAATACTCTTTTAGTGGACTCCAGCTGAGCCCAAACTGACTCACTGCCCTCCAGGGTGTAGTGAGAGATTTAATTACCCTTGTACTGTTCCAACAGGAACAATGTCGTGGGCAGCATTTCACTGTGGCTGGAGAGGTTGAGGCTTCTTTCTCTATTGGCTGCCATTTTCAAGTTTAAAGAAAGGGATTTCAGGATAAATCACAGCTCTGTATAATAACAGTGGAAAGCCACTGCTCTTTTGCAAATGAGAATTGGATTGGTCACGTTTCATTACAGTACTTACATGGATTTTCCTTTGATGATGGGAGTATTCCTTTGGGTTGTCTAAGGACAGAAACACAAGTTGAAAGAGTGAAGTGGAGGGACAAGTAATCCTTTAGTTGAGTGGCAGGTGTTTCAGCATCTCCTACTGCTTGAAACCAAAGAAGCCTTCATGCGATGGACAGCGGGTGGGTATTGTACTCGCTATGGCAGAAGTCATACTCAAACATGCATACAATTGGTGATGGGCCAGAGTATCATGCTGAGGAATGCAAACCATAAGAATGACGTGTATTTCTCATTGGGGTAACTGAAGTGAAGTCTACAAGAGTAAGTGTATATTACGGTGTATAAGTTACGCTCTGCAAGGCACATCTGTCGCTATTTTAGTGTCTGCGATGTAAAGCTAGGTGCTGTGTTGGATAATGTGATAGTCATGTGATTCAGTGTGCACAATGAGTATTTCTCAACAAATCTGTACCTGGTCTCTTTTTCTGGCTTTCATGTGTTATGGTGGGTCCTGTGCTGGAGGCTTTCATCATATGTCAACAGTGTGGTTTCTTGAGGTGTCACCTGTTTTAACTGTAATACAGTAAAAATTGAGTCGTTTACTCTTCTTTGTAATTAGATTAAGTGATTGTGTAATCTTTGAGAACCCAGTGCAGCCTTCCACTAAACAAATGCTCTGACTCTACCATTGGTATAGATGAATAATACATGAAATCTTTTCCATGTACTGTAAAGGAGAGGAATGGGTAAGAGAAACATGCTTTGGAGGCAAATAAAGTGAAGAAATAGTTTTAACTTCTTAACAGCAGGCTTAGGCATCGCTAGCTCAAAGTTTGAGTATGTGTACAAACCATATGGCATATTTGCATTAGAAGAACCTTCAGTGACTCTGTGGTTTGATTCCTGCCTGTCATTACTCTTCTTATTTACTCATACACTTGCAAAACATTTGCCTTGTCCCTGAGGTTTTATTACTTGGCCACAGCACATCAGTGGGGAATAGAGAGGAATGGCTTCAGTGAGTCCTTTCACTGCTTATGTCATGGAGAGAGCTTCTTTGTAGTCATTGAAGTATACAAACACTCATATGTGCCGTAAATAGCCAAAAAAATCACAGCAGACATCATCAAAAACAGCCAGAGAAGGAAGTAAAGTAGGAGGCATCATTCAGAGCAGGAAAAAAAGAGGAAGGCTTCATAGCAGTCACAAATTCTGGGTTAGTCATCATTTGTCTCCATGTTGGTGGAGAGGACTTGCTGAAGCATTGTGTCACTTGCAAACATTAGTCACTGAAGCCATTGTCTGAGCTGCTGAATGAGAGTGGCAAGATTTTCAGCCTTCTAAGAGAAAATATTTTAAAGAAAAATGGACTAGGGGGACTTACTAATTGCAAGGTGTTAAATATGCCCTTACTCATACATTGTTTTATATGGATGCTGTCAACATAAACATTACACGTCAAGCATCTTATAGAGAATTACTATTCTCTGTTCATTTTCCCTAATTATTTGTTAGGGGAAATTATTCTTTTCCCTCATTTAATTAATTTTAATTTTTTTGGTGATTTTATTGCTTAATTCAGGTTGGGTATTTTGAAACAAATAGGTCAGATCAAATTCACAGTTATGTTCTAATACAGTGCTGTTGTGCTGGCACAGCATTATGGAATTTGTTTGAAATTTCCTAGTTGTTTGTAAAATTTATTCACTGTTTTCATTTTAACTTACACAGTTGCTGTTGCTGTCATTAGATTATTTTTTACTTGGGACATAGGTGGTTTTTATCACATGGGTGTGTACTACTTTATGCAATGCAATTCCTATTCTTAAATGATTTACACTAGGTGTTACGAGCAGGCTAAAGAATGAACACGTAGCTAGTCCTTGATTTTGGCTCACAGTGCAAAAGGAAGGAGAAGTGGTCCAAGCCTCGAGTACCCTCTGGGGACACGGGAGAGAGTCAGCTCCCTGGTCTGCCACAGAGCCCATTTTAGGACTTCGGCAGGTTGGTTGTCTCACCGTGTCTTGTATGAGTTAATTGTGTGGCGCTTCATGGTGCAGGCTTTGAAGCATGTGGATAAAGTGCTTGTAGAGCTTGTATGGATTCTTTAAGCAAGGTAGCCCTGTACAGAATTCTAGTGATAGCTGATAGTCTAGGCAAAAATGCAGTTCTTGATATAAAGTACAAGTCAATGGTGTTTGAAAATGAAAGGGCAATGTGTGTGTATTAAATGGTATATATATATAGATGAGGAAAGATCATGTGTGTATGTGTACATACACACAAATAGAAATCTAATTTACAAGTTAATAGTATGAGAACGAGCAAATTTCAAGTGCAATATATTTTACAGTTATGGGATTAATAGTTACTTTCACCGGATTTAACGTATTTCATTAATTACACTAGATGCGTACCTATCCAGTGTTCATTTTGAAACCACCGATGCTTTCATATGAAAAGAACAGTAAGAAATGTTTGCTTGTATCTGTGGATAAAGCTAATGGAAAAACCCAATCCTCTCATCCACATATTTATCTGAAAGATGTGTTGTATATCTGCAGTTGATTTTCTAGAATGCTGATTAGCTAATACTGTTTTTGGCATGCAGCTTATCCATCGTGTGGGAGAACACTATCTGAATTTCAATTTACTTTTCAAAATGATGTTGAACTGCTATTCCTTTAAAGGCTTTTCTGGCCATTTGGGGACCCAGTGCAGACAGTGGAGCTGCGGTCTGGTCTCAAAATCTAATTGAATTGATACAAGGCAGCTGAAGCAGTGGTTGTTGAAGAGCTTGAGATGGATGGCAAAAAATAAGTGCTTCTGAGCAACTTGCTTAGTGTCCTTGTTTGAAACTGCCCCTAAGTTTTACTTTCATTGGTAACAGACCTTTATGGTAAAAGCCCTGTGCTTCAATATAGTTAAGGAATTCATTAGTTCTGTGTGGTTTTGATACGATCATGTTGCTGTTAAAGAAACTATGCCTCTGAGAGTATTAGGCTAATAATGGAAGAATGGAAGGAGGAGTGGAGAGTTAAGGTAACGTCCAGTGTTAATCCCTTTGTCCCTGCCAGCAACTTGCCACTGTTTAAAATTCCAAAATCTTACCCTCCTAAACATTTGTTTTTGCAGTGATGGGTCTTTCCCTTATGATTCTGTTCCCTGGCAGCAAAATACCAACCAGCCTCCAGGCTCTTTATCAGTGGTCACCACAGTATGGGGTGTGACTAACACCTCTCAAAGCCAGGTAAGCTTTGTTTTTATGCTCCACCCCCCCCCCACCCTCCCCCCTGCCCCCGCTTAGATACGGGTTTTCACTAATGTTTGCAAAATGGAAAGCTTTTTGGAAAATCCTCTTGAGATAGATAATGGTGTTTGTGTTCTCTTTGTTGTACATGGTGCATTTTTTTTTTCCAGTCGTGTCCTCTTTGGTGGCATCGGAAAGGAGCTGTCTGAAAGCTTGAGTCAGTAACTCCTTTAGCTGCATGCAAATGTCAGGCTTGGGTTTAGCACATATTTTGCACTGTATGGTTTCAACACCAAAAGCATGATTTTGGGGTGATCCAAAACCTCTTGGGAATTTCAGATTGAATTTAAGGAATTGTTTTATTAAAAAAAAAAAATCTACCTAGATTTATCAAGCGACAGTTATTGTTGATTTTATCTGGGGTTGTGTCATACTTGTGGGCTAGTGAAATCCAGTGCCAAGTCTACCCCCATGCTGAGGTGCTAACTACCAGCTATAGTCTGTGCTCTTTTCAACCTCTCCTGTTAATACTGCCTTACTTTGCAAAAATATTTCAATATGCATTGGAGCAAAAGCATGAGCTCCTGGCTTCCAGGTGAGAGATACAGTTAGTGGATTTTCATTTGGTTTTCTCTGCTCTTACCTCTCTTTTTCTTCTGCAATTTATATTGAATTATGCTATACAAAAAGAAGCAGCTTTAATGAAGGAGATGCCAATTATGTATGACAGGGTGCTCTCCAAGGGATGTGGCACAAATCAAGCTCTCAGACAGTCTAGTCTTTTCTTACATCAGGACAACCGTAGATGAAGTGCTCTAAACACATCACCATCTTTAATGAGTGCAAATGGTACATAAATCCAACCTGTCTTTTCTACCTTGTTCAAATCAAGTGACATTAGATCCCATACAAAATTTTCTGTGGATTTTTTTAAATTTTTTAAATTTTGGTCAGAAAATGAAAAACAAAATTGTTACAGATTGAGCTATTTGAAAAAGAAATTATTCAGGGGCAAAGTCATATAGATAATTACATGGTAGTTATGTAAGCACTGGTTTTGGCAAAATCTTTCTTCAAAAAATAAAGAGAGGAAACAGTAACAGGATCTACAACATGATTTATTATTACTGATTTCTTTTTAACACCTTAAAAGAAAAGGTATCGCATCTGGGAGAGAAATGCCTGAGTAAACACATAGGTCTATGCATTGGCCAGAAAATGGAAATACAGTTTCTTGTGGAAATCTTTCACACTTAAAAAGGCAAAAGAAAGGGGGGGGGGGGGGGCTCAGAGTTTTGTTCTGTCATAAGAACACTGTAATGTTACTTGAACTCTTCATGATACTTCAGAGGAATGTGCAATAAAAGAAAAAAAGTGCTTTGGTAAAAAGAAGAAAATGCTTCTTCAGAATCACTTCAAGGGAAGAGTGAAACTCTGGAATGTAAAGATTGGCTATAGCTATTCAGAGCACACTGAAATGAATGACAGGGTTTCCCATAAGTCTTCATGCTCCCCAAGGGAAGGGAGTGAGCCGGGCTCACCGATTCCCTTTCACAAATTCCCAAAGCTTGGTCTTCTGCAAAAATCATGACCACTGAATTTCTTCCCAAGTAGGAGACAGATTTCCATGCCGGTGATCCATGAACAGCCATACTTGGATCTCAATGGAAATCATAGCAATTTTGGTTCAGTTGAAAAAAAAAAAAAAAAGCTTCAAACAAGCAAACCAAGTCCTTTTAAGAACAGAACAGAGGACTCTTTTTTTTTTTTTTTTTTTTTTTCTAAGAAGCAATAAAAACAACCGTCAGACTTCTGTACACTTTAGAGAGAATTATATTCAAGAACAGGTTAAGCCACTGAAATATATTCTTTCACAGTTTTTGCATCTATAGTACCGTTTGCAGTATGCCAGTGGGACTGAATATTTGCAAGTTATTTCAAAGTCATACATCAGAAAAAAAAAAGAAAAAGCACGTACTTTCTCTTCATCGGATGAATTTGTCACCTACAGAGCATAGTTCTAGCAGGTCTTTGTCGTAACTTTTTTCATAAGCGTGTTAGTTTGGCTTCCATCTAGTTAAAAATCTTCTGCGAAGGATAATTAGAGATCAGAAAGCCTTGTTTCGAAATGGCAAAAGGAGAAATCACCAGGAATGTGCACCTAGACATTGATGCTGTGAAAAGCCGAAATCAGGACTCAATAGTCAAAAGACTATTAAGCAGGTATCCTTTATTGCAGCGCTGGGCACACAGGGGATTTCTCCTCCTATTGTGTGCGCCTGATCAGGTTAATGGCATAGTTTATATACAGGTTCTATATACATATTCATTAGATTTCCGAGAAAAGTTTTACATATTCATTAGTTTTCCAAGAACTCATTCTCATATGCTAATGTCCCTCGTGCAGACACATTTGAGGTCTCTGGTGGTCTTCAGGAGTCTTCTGGTGGTCTTCTGTAGTCTTCCTCACTTGTCTGCTGTTTGACCCTTCTTAGATGATTCTGCGCAGTGTGATCTTCTACATATTTTGATACATCTTATCCTAAAGAATGCTCGTTAGTGCCTCTATTATCTATGTCTACATTAATGATGCAGTTCTCCAGACACTGCAAGGCCATCCAAAAGCAGTTTTTTCTTTGGTGTCTTATACGTTGTGCAGCATACAGAGCTCTGATCTACTACTGGTCAGCAAATAATTGGGAAAAGAAATAGCAAGACCATTGTGTTCTGAAAAACATCTTGTATCAACATCAACAAGGTCTATGTTCATTAGAGTTCAGAGTACAGGGTGGTTATATTTTAATTTATCAATGGCAGCAAATCAACTTAATTTGCTTGATGTAGTTCAAGGTACAGCCCCTTATTCTCATGTTTCTACTCACAGGTGCTGGGAAATCCAATGGCAAATGCTAACAACCCTATGAACCCAGCAGGAAATCCCATGGCTTCTGGGATGACTACCAGCAACCCTGGAATCAACTCCCCTCAGTTTGCTGGACAGCAGCAACAATTTTCAGCCAAGGCAGGCTCCACTCAGCCGTACATACAGCAGGGCATGTATGGACGACCCAATTATCCTGGAAGTGGAGGCTTTGGTGGCAGGTAAGATTTACTTGTGTGAGGTGGAAAATGGATGTAAATAGTTGATGAAGCTTGTTGTAGTGACCTGGCAGAAGTGTCATGGGCTTATTTTAATTATATAAAGTCTCAGTAGCTATTTTATGCTGGTTAACTGAAGTGCATACTGCTTTTACAGCTTCCGAAATCAGCTACCCAAACTGCAATGAAATTCATCACGGTAAATGGAAATGGCTTAGGTCAATCAATTAGCTCTAATAAACCCCCAAAATAAAGTTTTAATTAAGAGAGATTGTTAAACAGACCACAGGCTTAGGAATGATTAACATTTAATAAGACCAGGATGTGAAAGGTATTGATGGTATAATTTCTACGTGCGTATGGAGGAATAAGCTTGAGTATTAGGCAAAGTAGGTTCCCGTGCAATGGGATATTTCTGCCCAAAGACTTACTCCACAGCAGGAATTTGAAAAGAATTGGGGGTGAAGATGTTTGTTAAGAGAGGTGGTCAAGCTGTGTATTTATTTTGGGGAAGTAAATGGTGCTTTAGTGAAATAAGCCAAAACTAATAGCCCATGTTTTGTTACATTTTGACTTTCTGTGTCTGTGCTTTGTAAACAAGGGTGGTAAGTGCACTTAACTGAAACCACTATTTATGGTCCCTCTGCAAAGCCTGCTGAAAAGGTTGTTAGCATAGTCAGTGTAGTGTGAAGAATATAAGCCTGGGACTCGGGGAACTTATCTCTCCTTTCGTCTCTGCCACCAGTCTACTGAGCGACCTTGAACAAGTCAGAAGGTTTCTTTAGCTTTGTATTAACACCTCGAAAATGGGCACAGTATACTGGCCTATATTTATAAAGATAGTTGATGTCTTGGAGTGGGAAAGGCATGGTTTAGCTTAATATATCTTATGATCAATGGGAGAGCCAGGTAAGAACTGCAAAATACGTTGTGTGGGATCCAGTAGAGCTGATTGCATTGGGTCTCTCCTGGCCTTTCTGCTAAGGTTCAGGGAAGAATGCTTTTACAACATTGGGAACACTTGGTGTAATTCACCACTGAGGCAGATGAACGCGCTGTAGAGGAGGAAGCTCTCTGTTCATGCTGCTGTGCAATCTGCCCCTACACTACTGGGAAACGGAGCATGCATTAACTTCCAGGATTTCAGTTCAACTTCACAGTAAGCTACAGAGCTGCAAAGCAGTCCCCTGCCCCTGAAACAACTGACGATGGTGACTTGCAGTCCCAGAGGCAGCCCTATGACTGTTGCACCTCAGCAACACTTGTATCTCATGTGCACACCTAATTCCCTGTCCTGCTGGCTTTCATTAGGCATTGATACGTGGTTTTGGAACAGTTCCAGATGAGGATCACGCCAATGTTCAAAAGAAAATCCACCAGGCATGTCTTAATTCTCTCCTCCTTTTTTTTCCTTCTTTCTTTCTTACTTTCTTTTCTTCCCCATTAGTTACCCTGGAGGCCCAAATACCCCTGCAGGAATGGGGATCCCCCCACACACGAGGCCACCAGCTGATTTCACCCAGCCAGCTGCAGCTGCTGCTGCTGCTGCTGTTGCGGCTGCAGCCGCTACAGCAACAGCTACAGCTACAGCCACTGTGGCAGCCCTTCAGGAAACGCAGAATAAGGACATGAACCAGTATGGACCGGTAAGAGAGTAACCCTTATGTCTTCATATCTGCCTGATCTGGACCATTACAGGGAATTGGGCTGTCCTTCTTACTTTTTTTTTGTTTGTTTTTGGTGCATGAGCATGGTTATAAATGCTTATGAGAAACTGCTGGAATGTGTGTACGTAGGTATGAGTTGGTCTCCTGTGTTTTTCCCAATAAATCTTGCCTAAGCGTATTTTGTAGTTTGGAGGTTGCCCCTTAAAAAAATTTAAGATTACCCAAAGTTACGGCTGCATCTGACATGATAATATATTATTGCTGCCTTTGCCAGCCCTGTGAACCTCTAAATCTGAGTAGCTGGTGAAATGTTCCAGAATCTTGGAATAGGTTTTATACCACTTGGGTAGTTGTTTATTTTGCCAACTACAGTTGGTTGATTGTTTTTTTTTTCCCTTCAAATAAGGAAACAACAGTAGAAAAGAGATTTGCTTTTTAATAATGTTGTCTATGAGAACAGTGATGTGAGACATGCATTTCTGGTGATCCATAGCCTCCAGCATGTCATGACTTAATGTAATAATTTTTTCTTAAAATTAACAAGAGTTTGATCAATTCAGGTTTTTTCTTCCTTAGCTTTTTTACCTCTCTAAGTTTTGAAGTATATGGGCCCATATGCCAGGTGATGTAAAGAAGCATGTTGTCTTAGAAATTGTAGTGTTGTGCTGTAATTACACAGCCAACTTCCTAACCTGTTACCTTACAGACTAGCCAATTTAAATGATTTAATTGCTCACCTTAGACTTATGTCTGTCTTTCTCTCTTATGCCTTCTACACTTCTAATTGAATTTTTATTATAAATAACATCACCGCCCATCAAATGTTGGAGAACATTGAAGGAAAATGCGACATAAATCTTCCCCTTCTTCCCTCCCCCAAAAGCATGTTCAGCTCCCTCCTCCCATTTTAAATGCATGTCGCATTTTATTCTTTTTTTTTTTTTCTTCTTCTTCCGTTGAAGGTGTGTTCCTCTTTCCAGATGGGTCCAACTCAGGCTTACAACAACCAGTTTATGAACCAGCCTGGTCCTCGTGGCCCTGCTTCTATGCCAGGCAACATGAACCCAGCAAGCATGGGAGCAGGAATGACACCTTCCAGCATGAGTGGGCCACCCATGGGCATGAACCAGCCTCGGCCTCCTGGAATGAGTCCCTTCAGCACCCATGGGCAGAGGATGCCTCAGCAAGCCTACCCAGGCCCACGCCCCCAGTCTTTGCCTATACAGGGCATAAAGAGACCCTACCCAGGAGAGGTAATAAAATAAATTATATTTTGCGTACACTGTTATTTTGACTGAAAGTTGCAGCATGCTGTGTAATGTGTACTGTGCATCCCTGTATGATAGGTACGTCTTTGTTCCAGCCTTGGTAGGAATACTGCCATTAAAATATGAGCAGCAGCAGCTCTTCCTTTTTAGCTTCTAAAGTATTCAGGTTGGCTCTTGCTATGTTAGTCAAGATGACAGTCATTAAAACCAAGAAAGGCCCAAAACTGGCTGAGCCCTCAAAATGTCACTTTGAGATTCTCATGCTAGATGGTGAATTCACAGACCTTAAGCAGACTTCCTTCACAGGAGTGGATTTATTTAACGTGACAACTTAAAAGAGGTGTTGAAGGTGAAATACTTCATTTGAGCCCAATACATGTGATCTGCATTTTCTTGGATGGTTTTGTTGTTCTAAGGCAATACAGGGCATACATTGTATAAACACCAATAGTAATAACATTTATTTTAAAGACCAATTGCTTTCTAAACTTCTTGAAACTTGATTTTCGTGGACAATGAGATGAATATAAATCGTGTTGAACTCCAATCCCTCTGTGTCAGTATTTATCTAATACAAGTTTATTTGGAGTGTGGTATTTCTGTGTAAATTCCTGTGCTGTTATATGAGATCTAAGTGGCTTTGTAGACAAAATTACATCGCCATTGACTTGTATTATGAACTTGGGCAAAACACTTAGGGTCAAAATTTTAAAGAGATTTAGACACCTAAAGATGTAGACAGACAAGCTTTTGGTTTTTTTAAAAAGCACCAATGCATTTTACTAGTCAAATTGGTGTGAATTGGGTAGTAGATGCTTTTGAGAATCTCGCCAACTCTCAGCATCTATATGCACCTAAATGTCTTTAACAAATCTAGCCACCAGTTACTAGCTTCAAAGATAATTTCCTGGTAAAATTCTGAATTAAACTGAGACGACAACAACAGCTATAACTCCAGGTGTTGAATATTATGGTATTGACCTGACTATAACAATGGTAGTAAGAGTTTATAGAAAACATACAGCAGAGAGTACCATGGTATGCAGAAAATACAGCAAACATTTATTATTGAGCTACCTTTCTTTCCTGATCTGCAAACTTTTTAATAAAAAAAATAATCAGAAATGTAAAAAGTTATGTGCTTTTGCAGGAGATGCTTCTCTAGGAAGGCTTTTCACTCTAAATACTGCCACTTACTCTACAATTAAGTTAAGAAAACATAGAATGTGGCTTGTTCAGATAATTCTTATCTTCCAATTTCATACTTTAAGGAAGACTGTAAATCCCTTTTTGCTGCTTCAGAAGCAGGTTGTTCATTCTAAGTGAATATGATCATGTTCCCAAGAAGTCGATACTGAACAGTCCCCTAAATGTTACATGCTTGCTGGTCTGGAATTCTGCAGATCCCGTAGGTGCTATTTGCTTGTTGGTTTTTGAAAGCTTCATTTGTGGAAACTTCTTATTAACTAGTTATTTTTTCAAATTGACATTTTATTACCTTTAAAGTTCCGGTTTTCATGACTCTGATTCCAAAACTGCAGCACGGTACTAGGTAGCACTAGCAAGGTGTTTATGACTAGTAATAGCTTCTGTTTAGTTGTTAGGGTATTGCTAAACACTCTAGCACCAGGCTAGCATAGCAGTTGTGTTGAGAAGACAGACATGGACAACACAGCTTCTATTCTCTGCCCATTCCAGGATTTTTTTTTTTTTATGTTAATTTTTCTTTTTGTGCTTTCATTCTCCATCTGGAAAAGGAGCCCCAGGAATGGGGCTGGTAGCACTTGCGAAAACACAAGAGATTCTGTGAACATTACATCTGGTTGTAATTCTGGTTTCTTCAAACACAGTGCCATTTGACAGCACTGCAAGGCTGAGTGTATGTGTGTGTTAAGGTACATGGTTATTCTTATCCCACTTTGGTTTGCAGGACTTTTATGCTTTTGAGTGAGTATTCACCTCCAGCCATCAGGGCCCTGGTTTAGGCATGAGTGGCACTAAGTTGAGGAGTACTTAACTGGAGAGTTTTGTTTGTTTTGATTCCACTGTTGAATTTATGCTAATACTCAATTCAAGACAGCTGCTTGCATGAAACAGATCTTTGTCTTCTTTCATCTCTGTCATGAAATAGCCAAATTATGGAAACCAGCAGTATGGACCAAATAGCCAGTTTCCAAACCAGCCTGGTCAGTACCCCACTCCTAACCCTCCAAGACCCCTTACGTCTCCCAACTATCCTGGACAGAGGATGCCAAGCCAGCAAAACACAGGGCAGTACCCTCCTCCAACGGTCAACATGGGGCAGTATTACAAGGTAAGAATTTTTTAGATTATCTTGTTGCATTCTGGTAGACATTTATGAATTAAGTCACATTAATGACTTCATAGATACTACTTTTACGTAATTAAAGAGAGAAAAATGCACAGTGTTTTTACTAATGTTTTGGATATCACAGAATCAAGTCAATCAGCCAAGCTGCACTGTAACTTCAGAGCAGTTCATTAAGAAAATTGAATGTTACTGCAGCTCATTAGAGGCTTTCACAAGAAAATGTTGGGTTCACTTTAAAAAATAGCATGTAAAAAGAAGTACCTAATGGGATTCAGGTGTAATATTTTCACCTATTCATGGCACCCTGCAGGAATACAGCTTTGGAAATTTGTAATAAACAAGTTCCACATTGCAGCATCCTAATTTCAGACCTCCAGTGGTCACTGTTGGATTAAGCCAGCCCAAACTTAAAAGCTGTTCCAGCTGTAGAATTCATCGGTGAACTGAAGTCTGCATTATGTTCTTCGACCTCTCCCTCCCCTTTTCTCCTTTTCCCTCTGTGCTGATTGTTTTGGGCAAGAATTAGAATTGTTAAAATGTTGCCTAAAACCTGTTTAATGGCTACATCTTGAGCACTTTGTATTCTCCAAACTGAGTTTGTACTGAGGGCCTGCTGAGGTTTGAAGTCTTTCAAGTGCACACAAAAGTGATCTTTTGCATGGGGGTACTCCAGTGAGTATAAAAATGGGGAGGACCATCGATGGTCTGACCTGCTTTTAAAGCATTAGCTGTTGGAGTCTCTGGACTACGTTCTGATTTTGAATGGAGGCTGAAAGAATCTAAGTTGCACATTGGTGTTGCATTGGAATTGTTCTGGTATGACTCACACAGAACACACCATTGAAGAAAAAGGGAAAACAAAACCCTTTACTTTAGAGCATCTGTTCTACGTGCAACCAAGCTGTCCACTGTGGTACCCAAAGGAATGCCTGTTGCATCGTGGCAGGTTTTGCAGTACACTGCCAGGAATAACACGAGGAGGGGACAGATCCTCAACTACTGTAATTCCAGTGCAGTCACTTATGCTAAAATGACACCAGAAGATCACTGTGAAGTTTTTAAGTGGCAGATTTTTTTAATACATTTTAATGTGTTTATTTTAGATGGTGTTTGTTTTTTGTTTACAGGATAGTTCTAACAGGGAATCTGTGACCTTTCCAATGCATCCCCTATTTTGTATTCAAGTATCAACTGTTCTAGAAACAGAAAATAAGAGACCTTGTTAAGAAGGGAGATTATCCTGGCTAGGGGAAAAATTCCAGCTTGCAACAGACATGACCTGAACATTTGGATTCTAGTGGTTGTGGAGATAGTAACTGTATGTGTTAAAGAAAATAGCAAAGATGGTTGGAAATGTAAATGCTTAAGGTTTCAGAATGCAGCTTTCTTCTTATGTACTTTAGAGTATCCTAGGCTAGCAGTGCAGCATTTAGATACAGAATCAGATTTGAAGTCCTGATACTTTGGCTGTCTGTAAAGATTTTCATCTTCTGACACTTTCGTGTGTATGTGTTTATGGTACATGAGCTATTACAACAGAGTGCCATGCAATTGCAGTTTTGTTTAATGTCAGCTTTCTTCACATCATTGTTATTGGTTTATTCTGTTAACTGCAACCATCCCCTTAATTACAAGAAACAAAACCAATGGTGTCTTAATACTATAGCTACCATTTATACTTATCTCCTTTTTCTCTTAGTTTGTCTTATTCAGCAGCAAACTAAGAACAGAATCAAATTGTAGGTACACAGAATAAAAGACATCCCCTGACCCCCAGAGCTTTCATTCTGAGTAGATGAGTTGGATAGGGGTTGAAGAAAGGATAGATCGAAGTAAAAGGAACACAGACATTCTAATTGCATGTCTTTGGATTTTGTTTTTCATGTAGGCTTTTGTGCACTGGGGCTATTTTGGGAGGAAGCCAAAGAGATACAAAGGGCTGGGTGGGTTGTGGTGGTGTGGAAAAACTGAAGTGAATGGCTGGTTGGTTTTGGAAAGAGAGCGTTCAGAGGAACGTGATAAGCCTCTTGGCAGCCTTGCTTGTATCTGGTCATTGCCTGAATTAAGCTGGCTGGTCTGCTGGTTTCAGTTCCTGCTTTTCTTTCCTAGTCTGCCTCTTCCCCAAAGGCCTCATGGGACATCCTGTGGTTTCTTGCCCTTCTGGAGACAAAGGGGCCTCCCTACCTTGTTTGTAGTCTTTGGTGTTTGATAACAGTGCAGTTCACAAGGCTTATTATTCTTATTTTCAGACTGCAATAACAATGTGATTTTATTTATTTTCTAGCCATCAAGGCCTGTACCTGTGGCAAATTACCCTCATTCACCTGTTCCAGGAAACCCCACGCCACCTATGACTCCAGGGAGCAATATTCCTCCATACCTGTCACCTAACCAGGATGTCAAGCCACCATTCCCACCTGACATTAAACCAAATATCAATGCTTTACCACCACCTCCAAGTGAGTAGCAAACAGAATGCCCCCACAGTCATTTATCTTCCCTCTGTTCTCTGTCACGTACATTTCAGAGTCTGGAAACTAGCTCTGATTGCTGCTCTGGGAGAGGCACGGCTTGCTAAGTTGTGATAGGTGGGAGTGCACTCTGCAGGCTCGCTCACTAAAGCAAGTGGACAGGAAAGAAAAAGATTACTATCCCCTCCTAAAACAGAGTATCAGAAAAGTTCTTCCAGGTTAAACTTGCAAGGATTTTACTCCTGAAGTACTCCTTTGATATGCTTCCTGAAGATAAAACACTTGATTTTGGGTTGTGTTATGTGTGCTTGGTAGGCTTGTTTATTGTATGAACTTTCACTGTGATCTGTTCTGTTCAAGGGCAAAGCCATTCATTGAACATCACTGCAGAACAGCGTAAAATGTGAATATTTATAGCGGTGTCTCTATTGTGATCCATACAGGCTTCTTAAGAATATTCAGTAGTATGCCAAAAATGATATATGTTCCTTTCAAAGCCACTCAACATCACGGTTGTGTTTGGCTGGGAACAGGGCAGGAATAACAAGATCTCACTGGCTGTATACTAGCACAAGATATTTGAGGTTTTGAAGTGACTGATGAGCAATAGGAGATATCATTTACTAGGGAACTGGGAGAACCTTTATGTTTTCTGTAAAAAAACTGCTGCTGCATTAGCACTTTGCAACTGGTGTTTGGAGTTCAGGATAGCTGAAAAATGAAGTATAGGAAGGTGGCCTGCAGTATTATTTGGGCAAGAACACAGCATTTAAAGACATATGACTTCATAGATTAGCTGTAAACTACCACAAAACCTCCTTTTATGAGATCAGATAGTAACTGAATACCAGTGTCTTTGTTCATTGGTTAGTTTCAGCTGATGAAACTGTTGGAACTAATTGGGTAATGTTGATCCCAGTTCAAAGCGAGGAAAATAAGCATTATCACAGTTTGCCATAATGAAGAGATTTGTTGTCAGTCTTCTGCCAACAGAGTAAGCCTCAATACAGAACCTGTCCAATAATAAAAAACAGGAATTCTTGCCATGTCTGGTTTCTGTTTGTGGCTGGAATGCTAAGGTCCTAATGTTAAGTGTGGGAGAATGGAAGACTTTGGTTTGCCATCGCTGTCAGTTTAAGCCCTGTCACTTGTATCAGTTAGATGATGTAGTTACTTGTGATTTTCTTTTCTGTGTGTATGAACCTGCTAAGTTAGACCCAGTAGCAGATCACTGTGCCATTTGTTACTATTTTGTATAAATATACACATTATTATTGCACTGCAGATGCTAAAGGGAAAGTTCACGCTTTCTCTCCCTCTTCGATCCCAGCCAACCACAATGATGAGCTGCGTCTGACATTTCCCGTGAGAGATGGTGTTGTACTGGAGCCCTTCCGGCTGGAACACAACCTGGCAGTCAGTAACCATGTCTTTCACTTACGGCCAACTGTTCATCAGACTCTGATGTGGAGGTAAGCTCAGACTTGCTGTGAGGAAGTCTTGCACTCAGTGGTGGAGGAGTGGCAGGCCAGATGAACTTCATTTAGGTTTGCCATGAATTTAGCTTTAAAAATTGTGGCCTAGATAGGAAAAATGCCCTTTAGACTCACAGATACTCTCACCTGTCACTTTCCAGAGACAACACATTCTAAAATGCTTCCTGATCTGTGTTGCATCTCCTTGCTGATAGCATATGGCAGATAGTATTTGAAAAATCACTGCAACTGTTCCGTCATTTCTGCTCTGGGTGTAATGGGTGTGGGACGTGCACGACTGATGCCGTTACAAACTTCCATTTAGGAGACTCTGAAGTCCTAGGTGCTTTGTGACCTGTGAAATGTTAGTTGCAGGAGTAACTATGCAGGGCTGTTACAGTTTATGCTTAAATTAAATGGTGCAGAGTATCTGATAATGAAAAATAACACACTAATGAAGGACCTGATTTGGAGGCTTGGTAAAATCATTTGGAAAGACAAGTGCTTAAATCCTCCGAACTTTAGAAACTAAGTTCTGAAATTCCCCCTCTCCTGTGACTCCATAAGTAAGGACAGGTCAGAAATATTGGAGCATAGCTTTCCACATACAAAGGCTTCTGGTTTTCACTTACAGCAAGTACTACTTTCCAGCACAGAGGAATAGTTTTCCTAGGTGGTACCTTCCTGCGTTTAATGTAGATCTGCATAAGTGATTCCAAGTTATGTCCTGATTCCACCATGCTTGTGGAAGGGCTTTAGATGAAATGACAAATCAGACCCTTAATTTTTTTTTATATATATTTTCAAATACCACAGAATAATTTTGTCTCCTTGTTCTGTTTTTCTCAGAAAGCATCTCAGTGTTTTTCCTGGCCGCTGATGACATTGTTTGAGTCTGTCTCTGTGCGCTGGGGGGGGCTGGTTAGTTGCTCAGCATCTTGTATGGAGGTTGTTTCACAGGTGTAGCAGCTGAGATGGTAAAATGCAGCATCTTGAGCACATTTTCTGTTACGCCTGCCTCACTTTCAGTTTCTTCCTGAGCCTGGACCACGTACCCCCTGACCTTAATGGAAGTGATAACTTGTAGCTTCAGCTTCTTTTCCTGTTAGGATCTTCCTCCCATTCACTGGAATCCACTTGAGACTTCTGTTTCCATGGTGTGGAAGGCATGAGGTGGGCAGAGAGGTGCACTCAGTTCCATGCCCCAGGGGCAAACTCTGGCTCTAAAGCTTGATGTGGGATGCAGAATTCCTTGCTGCCACGGTGCCCCCCTACCCTGAGGTAGCCTGGGATTTGGAAGGGAGAGAGATTGCAGGCAGACCACATCCAATAATTAACACCTAACTTTGAGGTCAGTTATTGCTTACTTGCATTTCATTATCATGGAGTACTCGCAGCAGAGGGAGTTTTGGCAGTTATTTGTCGGTTCTTATTAATAAGTAATCACTAGTGGGGATTGTGCTGGCTCATTCAGTAGATTTATAGTGCTGCACTGAGGCATGAGGCTGTTTCTTAATATCTGTTCTTTCTTTCTTTCTTCCTTAGCTCACCAAACACATAGCCTTTATTTAAACTTATTTTAATGAAGACTCATAGGTAAACTGTGCTCAGGTCTGCTGTTTTGAAAAGCTTGTTAATAGTGGGGAGAACGGATGGTCCTGTAATGAAGTCATTTCACATTTAACTCAGGGCTGGATGGATTCCAGAAAAACGAATTAGTCACATGTGTGGATGGATTTTGGTTTTATAGAGAATGGTGGAATCGAGCCAATTCTTAGTATTTTTCTGCCAGTTAAAATATTCGGCAAAACGTCTCACATGTACACACATAATTAATAGCAATGCAACTATTTTTCTTCCCGCTGGGAACTTTTCATGGTTACAAGAAACAGAAAGGTTGAAGGCAGGGAAAATGTTGCCTTGAAGCTGGTTCAGTCTTAGCACTGCTCAGTTATTAATAGCGTCCCATGGTGGAGACACTGCATGCTAAGAACAAGAGGGTCTCCTGAGCTCTGTCACTGCTCTGTGACATCCAGCAGGCCTGCTCAGAGTCCTCGGGAGCACACGTAATCTGCTTGGTTTTTATATCAGAGGTACCAAACCTTGCTTCCCTCTGGGTTTGGGTGACTGCAGTGTGTTCTTGTGAGGTGAGAATCTCCAGTGGATCTTGCAGACAGAGCTTTCAAAAAATTCTTAATAAAATACTGAAAAAAAACCCTGGAAAGACTTAATATAGATGGATTATGTTGAAAGGTCAGGTAATTTGTATTCTATACCTTTCTTTTTAAAAAACCCCACGTTTTTATCCAGTGCTAAATCTTGATGTTTTGAAATCCAGAAAAGACAATATTAGGTCAGAATTGAAATCTCTGGTTTTGGGTACGGAAAATGGCAGTTAAGGTGATGATCTCCTGAATGAGTTGTTCCTCATGGATCATACAATGATATCTTCCTTCAGGCAAGATGAAGAAATGAGCACCTAGATTTTCAAGCATAAAAGATAAACATTTGGCTGTCTTTTGCTGTCATGAACAGCAGTATCCTGACATTTCAGTTCAGTTCTTCATGTTCTTTTGAATTTCTTCTTCGAATTACTCATTCCTAACACAAGGTTAACATCCATGTATGAAACTGAAGTCATAGTCTCTACCCACTTAATTTGTGATTAACTTAATCTCAGCCTCTTCCTTTTTTGGAGGTGTTACAAAACTAATTTTTGAGGAGCTAAATAGCATGTGGAAGTTATTATTAGAGAGGTGGGAGGAATTCATGCTCTGAAAGAAGGTCTAAATTGGGTAGATTTAATCCACAGCTGTGTTAATTGGGAATCACAGAAACAAAGGGGGTGAGATACAGAGGTCATTCTATTTTAGTTGATTTACCTGTTCCAAGGCAGGATTAGCTGTACCTGTATTTTGTCTGACAAGTGTTCATTCAAGTGTTCTTTTAAATGCTCTAAAGTAGTGAAGAACCCACAGTCTTCCAGCACAACCCACTGCAGCGTATCACTTTCTTGTTCTTAACTCTTAACACACAGGAAGGACCTACCTGATGTTAAAATTTTTCTTTCTGCAGGATCATTCCGTGGTCTAGTTTTGCAGAGTGGTTTGAGATGTTCCCTTGGGAAGTCCCTTATAAGTGTAAAACATTAACAACAACTTTGTGGCATGCTTGCATCATTAATTCATCATGACTTACTTCTGTTAAGGGCTTTTATGAAGAAAGTATATTATGTAATTCACTGGCAATAATTCTAGAAGAATAATCTGATTGATAAAGAAAAAGTATTCCTAGCATCAAAACAATCTCCCTCTGCAATGTGAAAGCAAAGTTAAAGGACAATTTATTGGTTGTTGTACAGGTCTGACTTGGAATTACAGTTCAAGTGCTATCACCATGAAGACAGACAAATGAACACAAACTGGCCAGCTTCAGTCCAGGTCAGCGTTAATGCAACCCCACTTACCATTGAACGTGGTGACAACAAGACATCTCATAAACCTCTGCACCTAAAGCACGTCTGCCAGCCAGGAAGAAACACGATTCAAATTACAGTCACAGCATGTTGTTGTGTAAGTACACTGAGCTCATGGCTGCAGCTGCTGATGCTGAGTTTGCTATTTAGTACAGTTTGCAAATGCTGCCTTAGCTGAAAGAGCCTTACTCTCATTTTTTTCCATGCATTTTTCTGGTAAGGTGCTTGTTTGATGATGTTGACACAGTCAGAGTGCTAATATGGAAATTTTTGCTGCTGAATTATTGCAGAATATAGTGGTGTCTTTCTGATGTCTCTGAAAAGACTTGTGGTCTAGGGGAGGAAGGAAGTTTGATCTCCTGCCTATTTAGCATGTGCCTGTGTAACAAGGCAGCTAAAGTGTATTAATGTAGAAGCAGATTATTGTGATGCAGACTGTTGTCCGGTAATAATTTCATTTACTTAGGCTATTAAACTGTGTTTGGTTTGACATGAGAACATCAACACCATAATCATTGATGGTGGTGATGATTTTTTCAAATAGCTTTTCAGATGAAAAAATTCATATTCCGTGATGCAGTCTAGACCATGCAACTTTCCCCTTTCTCCTTTTCCATGGTTTAGTTACTCTCAGAGACAAGTACTGTATTTTTAATGCAGACTGTTGCATACACACAGTCTGAGCTTTTGACTGTTCTGTTGTCAGTGACAAGAAAGAGAGCTGCTACCTCTCCCAAGGTCACAGTGTGAAGCACTTTGACAAGAGGCCATCCACCCATTTTGCTTTACTTCGCACTGATGTTTCTCCGCATAATGTCATTTATCTGGTGGCTAAGAGTAGGGGCAGCATCCTGTGAATCCACAACGAGCTCTGTGTTGGGGAAGAAGATTCAGTTGGTTCCAGACACATCAGTAGCAAATTGTTTTTGCAACTTCCGATGTACTCTGAGGGCAGGCAGGTAGGCTAGACGGTGTCAAAGAATCCAGAGTTTTAAAAATAAACCCTGACGTCAGTGATTAATATGTCAGCCCTATGTATTCTGAATATTAAGGAGGGAGAAAATGCAGAAAAACTTCGCTTTTTTTTAAAGCCCTTGTATACATTATGCTCCTGGAGCACAGAATAACACACTGCACAGTGTGCAGAATATCCCTAAGGGAGTGCATGTGCGCAGCAGAGCAGAACTGGCTTTCATATTTAAGCATCAGGCTCTTATGGAAGCCATGTGTCCAAGGGAAGAATGCAGCTCTGTTCAGCAGTGTATTTACTATGTGCGGTTGGTTCTCTTGGTAATGAAATGCATTTTCTTTCAGTCACACTTGTTCGTGTTGCAGTTAGTACACCGGCCATCAGTTCGCTCCGTACTTCAAGGTCTACTAAAGAAACGCCTCCTTCCAGCAGAACATTGTATCACTAAGAGTGAGTTTTCATTTTGTGTGGGTGATGACTTTCCAGAATGCCTATGTTCATTTGTGATACGGTATTTCTACACAAGAGTTACTTGCTTATTGAAAACCTTAAGCTGTACTTGTCAGGAATTTCCAGAACATCATGTGCATAGATTAAATCCTCGGTATCCTCAAATGTTGAGGGCTATTTGGGTGGGGGTAACAAAATACCAAGGACATAAGCTTAGTTCCCAATGAGGACTCTCCCATTCCAGGAGAATCTCTCTGGCTTTTCCCCCATATTCGTTTTTGACTTACCTAAAAGCCCCCTGTATAAGGATTATTCTGTTTTTATTTAGGGCTGCTTTAACTGCTTGTATGGCACTTTATTTTGTTGAGGGTATAGCTGATATGCATGTGTGTGATGGTTTGTTCAGGAGAATGTTCTAAATTACACAGAATACACCTATGTGGATAAATTGTCCATTAAATTGGCCCTTAAATGTTGAAGTGTTGGTCTTTCAGATTTCTATGTTAGAATTTACAGTACACATGTGTTTTCTCACACATACACATACCCTCTTCCTAAACAGTAAAGAGGAACTTCAGTAGCGTAGCCGCTTCCTCTGGCAATGCGACACTAAACGGGGAAGATGGAGTAGAGCAAACTGCTATTAAAGTGTCTCTGAAGTGTCCGATCACATTCCGGCGGATTCAGCTTCCAGCAAGGGGTCACGATTGCAAGCATGTACAAGTGAGTAGATGCCAGTGGTCTGGTAGTATTCCCTCAGCCATGTGTTGCTACCTTACCTTTAGCTTGGTTATTGTATGAGAGAGCCTAATGAAATGGGATTTCTTTGTGTCTATCAACCTATATAATTAACTATATATATATGTTTAATGTAGAGGGAGAAAGTAAGCTATTTGGTTTAGTTTTCAGTGCTAGTAGGCTTTTTTCATGGCAGTTTTACTTTTGTCCAACTGATTCAGTTAATACAGTATTTTCCCTCGATTTCCTCTTTTTTCCCACCCCCACCCCCCCCTTCTTTATTTCTTTTTGATACCTAGTGCTTTGATCTGGAATCTTACTTGCAACTGAACTGTGAAAGAGGAACTTGGAGGTGTCCGGTATGCAAGTAAGTGCAACCATACTACATGAAATGCAGTTGTACACGATTTGACCAAATTCAGATCATATTTAAGGTCATGGAGGGGAGAAAAAGGAAGTGCTAGCATTAAGACCAATAAGAATTCTGCAATATTTCATAAATTGAAGAAACACCCTGGATTATTAGAAATTTAAAAGCAGATAACGAGATATTTTCTCACAAAATACATCATCTGTGAGCTCTTGTTACAGGCTATCAATGGGTTGTGCAGAGTTCAAAAGAAGCTCAAATATTTACGTTGATAAGACAGATATCTGTATAAAAGAATGAACTGCGAGTTTGTCTTCCCCTAGATTATGAAATATAGGCAACTACCAGACAACAACAAGCTATGGCAAAAGAATGGATAATCTATTCTAGAGTTATTCTTGTATAATTTTAATGTTGTAATGCCCACATTACTGAAATTCGAATATGTAGATACTAAAGTGTTCAGCATCCAGCTGAACATTAAGTAAGGATGCCAAATAACTGTCTCGGGTACTGTGCTTTGAGTCACAGATATGCAGTTAATGGCAGTGTTCGAGGAGAAGGGGAATTTTGGAGACTGCAACATTACCCAGTAATTAGGTAGCAATGACGTTGGATCCTCCAAGGTCAAAGTCAACATCCAGTGCAAATTAAAGTGTGAGCAGAAAGCAGGAAGAATTCTAGTGCAGAATAAGGCTGATTTTAGAAAAGGTAAAAGATTTCTAAGGAGCAAAAGTTTGGAGTGATTGCTTAAAGGAGAAGAGGGATACCTTGGCATACTTTCAAGCTTATGCTTTGACCAGAGAGCTGGTATACTGCAGAAGAAATGGAACAGAAAGCTTGGAAGTGGTTACAGACTGCCCGTTCTTACGTTTAAACGGGCAGAAAGAATCGCAGAATGTCTGCAGGCCAGTTCAGTGTCTGTAACCTACTGTGCTCAGCCCACAGGGTTACGAGTTTGTTGCAGCCTCAGCTGAGGAGCCAGGGCTCTTTAGCTCAAGCAGCTGTAGCTGTAGCAGCTTGTGCTTCAGCTCTGCAAGTCTCCAGTTCAATCCCTGCTGCACCAGCTGATGTTTGGTATAAACAGGAGTGGAGATTGGCCATTCTATCTGCTTCTGTTGACACTGCAGGCTTGAGATGAGCTTGTTTCAATGACTATCCATGATTGGTACATATCCTAAAGTGCAGGTGATTTCTCTGAACTGCCTGAATCTTACCTGTCTTCTAAGTCAGGCTAAAAATATCACAAGAACTAGATGTCTTGTTTCTTAATTTATGTATTCATGCATCCAGGCCAAAATTTTTGTCCTGTTTCTCTGAGTCTGAGTACCTACATTCAGACCTAAGTGCCTATGTAACTAACTCATTTCCACATTTGTTTTGTTCTGTCCCCATCTGTGCTGATCTTAAGTAAAATAGCTATAAGATGTAGTTACTTTGAAGCTGTGTTACTGTGTAGCTCAAAAAAAAAAGATCTAATTTGAAAACCCAGTGCTAGCTGATGTTCACAGGAGAGATGTGCTATGTTTGAAAAGCCTTTAAATTCACAGTATATTTTACTAAAAATTATTTAAAGGATGTGAACAGCTTGTGGACACACACAAGTAGATGTATCCTTATCTCATCTGTTTGATGTAGAATGCTATTATGCTGGTAATCCAAATGTAGAACTAAAACTGTTTGCCCCAAATCATTCCTAAATTATGTGTTACAGATAGTAAGTTGCTGGGTTCTGGTCTGCTGATTTCATCATTAACCTATCCTTCTTCCATCCCTATCTTACACATGTGTAGCGATATTCTAACATGAGGTTTGGGTTTTTTTTCCTTTCTAGTAAAACCGCTCTGCTAGAGGGCTTGGAGGTTGACCAGTACATGTGGGGTATTCTGAACGCTATACAAAAGTAAGTGAACTTACTTATTTCTGATATCCAAGACCAAGCAATTAGGAGATATGTTAATGAGTACTGAGATAGTCACGCCAAAGTAAGTCTTAGTGATTGAACTTGAATATTCTATTTCATGGCTCCTTGGTGGAGTTAGTGGTACAGTGAATGAGTTTCCATCTACTTAATAGATCTTTTTTTTGCGTTATCTTTTGATGGCAGCCTCACCAATGAGGCAGAGGCAAGAGTGGGAATGGAGAATTGAATGATTTCTCGTATTTACAAGTAGTCCCTCTGATTCACATGTGGCAGACCACATAGATATGTTTGGATTTTGTTGTGTGGATAAACAGAGAAATGTGCTCTCACAGTTGCCTTTTTTAAAACTGGCTTTCAGCACACACTTGAGGACTTGAAAGATCTTGAGGTTGTATTATACTAGAGCATTTCAGAACATTTGCTACCATGCATATTCTTATGGAAACTTCAGCAGAATTGATTAAGAAAAAATAATAATAAATTAATTTGCTAAAATTTTCACATTATTTTACAGCTCAGAGTTTGAAGAAGTTACCATTGATCCAACTTGCAGTTGGAGGCCAGTCCCTATAAAGTCAGATATTCACATCAAAGATGACCCAGATGGCATTCCCTCAAAGAGATTTAAGACCATGAGTCCAAGCCAGATGATCATGCCAAATGTGATGGAGATGATTGCAGCTTTGGGTCCTGGCCCGTCACCTTACCCATCCCTACCCCCTCCTCCAGGAGGCAACAGCTCCACTGAATATGGTAACCAAGGTTAGTTTTACAGCTTTGTGCACCCAGGCGGTCACTCTAGAAGTCAGTGGTTCAGGCAGTTTTGTTATTCAGGTATGTCAGTGCATCTTCTCAGAAAGATGCATAAGGAAAGCAAATTGTATGGCTGCAATTCTGAAATTGTGCATCAGTCTTTTCATTTAAGGTTCCTGTTTAGAGGAAAATATATTTTAGTAAGGAAATTGGTGCTTGTCATATTTATTGCTGTGCAGCCCTCCCTGAATCCACATTGTATGTTACCCTATGTATTCATGGCCTGCCACAATATACATCTTTCCTCATTTTTTCTGTCCATTTTCCTTTTGTTCCATTCTCATTCAAGTGAAGGCTCCTAGTGCTACAGAAGTGACAAAGTAGAGAACCTGACCCATTAACCCTGCTACCTGGGCCACTAAGTTTAACTTGTGGCCGAGTGGGTGACATTTGGTAGGCCACCCAGAAAGTGGATGACTTTTAACTGCTTTGCAAACACGTTTGCATTAGAAAATTACTTTTGAGTTTCTCTACCCATGTGCTGCCAGATTGTATTTAGTTCCCTGTTTCTCTGGCAGCGGAGATACATTTTCAAATGACTGGTATATTGTGAATAACTTAATTATGGTGACAATTCTGAAAATATGAAACCAGAGACTGTTTCTTTTGCAAGTAATATGATATGACTCAGTTCAGCTTTGGGAAAAGACCAACTGTTCACACCATCAGAATCCCCAAATTGATTACAAGGTGATATATGTGCTTTTTGCAGGCATTTGAAGAAAAATATAGATTGCATGCAAAATATGGTTAATTTGCTCCAATGACTGCAAAACTGATGACAGATGATAAAACTTTTTCAGTTTTCAGACAGATGAATGATTACTATAACAATGCCAAGAGCACTGAATCACAAATTTTTCACTTGTTTAGTAGGAGTGAAGTGCAGTCAGAGCATGAGAACAGAGCCATCTATTCTTCATCATCTTTCTAGCTTATAATTGGGAATGGACAGGGTAGTCACATGAAGTGGGGTTTAGGGTTTGTGTAACGACTGCTGCCTAGACTGTTACTTCCCTGCCTTCCCCTGTGGATCCTGTAGCAGAGGTAGTCATTGCTTCTCGGGGCCCTGACTCATGAACGGCAGGTGGAACCCACGCTCTCCTGTTTCCCCTGCAGTAAACATATCAATCCAGAGCACCAGATTATCCTAAATTTCTTTATAGGCCTGTCCCTCAGCATGTGGCAAAACTCTTCCCCCAGAGGAGGGCATGCTGCTGTGTGGCTGTAACTCCCTGTGCATACTGCCTTGCGTCTTCATTCTCCATCAATGTGTGCAATGAAAGTTAGTGTTTAGAATTAGGTGATGTCCTCTGATTAACAGTACTCTAGAGCAAAGTAGTAGTAGTAGTAGTAGTAGTAGTACTGCTGTCATTCATGTTTGTTTATTTGGGTTTTACAGTAAGCATACTGGAGTTTAATTTGCAAATATAACAAGTACTCAGTAACACAAGACCTTATTCCAGCTCACTGCTATTAAATCTTTCCTGAGAAGCAAGGCAAGACCAGCTATATTCTGTGAGACTCATCCAGTTTGCAGATTAACAAAATGAGAATTAGTAAGGCTCTGCAGTATTTACATGATAGATCAAAGTCCTGACTTCTTTGAGAAATACTCTTACATGGCTAATGACTTCTATTCCTCTGAGATTAAACTTCTGCTTGTGAAGCTGTGCTAAAGAGCAAATGATGCAGCTACTTCAGTTTGTCAAACTCCCTTCTTGACTTGAACATTTAAAGCTGCTGTACTTCAGCTGATGAACTGCAGCCTCTTTGTGCAAGCTCCAAAGCTATTCTATTATTCCAGAGCTCAGTATCATCCAACTCAGTTGTTTATACGAAATAGCTGAATGGCTTTAGTTCAATTTTTGCTGTTCATGGCAAATAAGCCACCAGAGTTGGTATCTCAGTTGGAAGTGTTAACAGAGGGATCTGGACAGAAAAAATACGGAGAGTAAAATCCCTGTATTGGGATACATGCTTGCTTTAGAATTCAAGTGAAGATCACTGGGCTGAGGTGGGACGGATCAAAACATACTAATGATGGTTATACAGTACTTGTCCTGCAGATCATCAGGGGACTCCAGGCTTGTTGCTAGATGGTAGATGTGTGGGGGTAAGTCCAGATCATTTATTCTGAATTGGTGTGAAATTTTTCTGCTTTGGAGAACATTGTTTCAGACTAAAGTTAGGTGAATTTCATAAATTCACTAGTTTTTCATTACGAGCATACATATCCACATGCTGAAACACAGGCTACAGGCAGCCAGTTTGTAACTCTGAAAATGAGACAAGTAGATCCAAGAGGGGAAAATCGATGTTATATTTGCAGACAGTCAAGTGAATTTTATTAGGTTTTGTGGGAGCAAGGAGAATTACATCACAAACCCCAATTAGACATGAAGGCCTCTTTTGTGTTATCTTAATGGAAGTTGCCTGTTTATACTGCAGAAGAAGAGATAAAATAGATGCTATGCTATGAACTGGTACTATGGCATCTTCCTGATACAGTTCTGTCAATTAGCTTCATCAGAAACTGAAGCGATGCTACAATCTTACTAAGTGCATAGAAGCATAGACATAAATAACACAGGTGTCCTATAAATAATTTTGGACTTAGGCAGTCTCAGTTGCACTAAGATGCTTCCAGATTGCAAATATTCCATAGAATAAAATATCCCTTTCACTTCTCAATTTGGTTAAGTTTATGTGGTGACTTGACAGTGGTTTTTCAAAATGCCAGCAGTTTTCAATTAGTTACAACATGTACCTGAATTATTATAGCAGACAGTATTTGAAAGCTGAGTGATGTTTTTTCCTCCCTATTCCTCCAGTTCACTCCAGCAGCGGGGAGCACAGTGTTGTCACATTCAGCATGGCAGTTGCCCTGTGCTGTGCACATGCCACACAGCTTTTGCAAGATACTCTGAGATATCAATGTTGGGAAACAAATAGTTTCTTTCATGTCACATCTGTTTCTCTTTTAGGCAACAGTTACCAAGGTCATGGCAATTTTGACTTCCCGCATGGGAATCCCGGTGGCACGTCTATGAATGACTTCATGCATGGGCCACAGCTGTCACATCCCCCAGACATGCCGAGCAGCATGGCAGCTCTCGACAAACCTCTCAGTCACCCCATGCAGGAATCTGTAAGTAATGGTGCTGTGGATATAGGTTGTTCTTTGTGGGTGTAAGGAGCTCTCATCCAGCTAACGGACTTGCCTTGTGAACTGCTTTTACTCTTTGTGGATTCCTCACTTTGGAAGTTTGTGAAACAGAGTAGTCCTGAGAAATGCCAAAAATGCCATTTTTAGTTTCTGGCCTTTTCGAGTTTCTGGAGAAGCATTTCTGAGCTTTTCAAATTGTCATTTAAGTTTGTTTATCTGAAAGAGACAACCTGGCTTGGTGTGCTTGTGTTAATCATTGTGCTTTGCTCTGACACCTGAAAAAAACTAGACTTCATTCCCTAGGCCAGCAGGGTCTGTGAATATCCATCTTCAGCAGACAGCTTGTTATAGCAAGACATTGACTGACTTCAAAGCAGGGACAATATCTTCCCTGGCTTTGTCCCTGAGGGCAAAATTTGCATCAAAGCATTTTGAGAGGGAATTCTACCCAAGTAGCATGAAAGGCACCTTTAAGCTGTTGGGAATAGGACAAGCCTGTAGATTACAAGGAGAGACGCTGCCAGTGGTCTGAGAGTGTATCAGTGTAAGAGACTACAAAATGGAGGTTCCTCAGGCCTCAGATGGAGAGGCAGAACTGTGCATTGGAAAAGCAGCTTGCTCAGAGCACTGGGTTATATATACAGAACTTTATATATCTCCAGAAAATGCGGTACTGCAGCAGCTAGGTGATAGAGAAGCTACCAGCAGCATTTTAGCTCTTAGGCATGGCTAGTCATCTATTTTAACTTGGGGGTGGGGGTGGGGGTGTATACATCCTTTTATATTCATTTAAGCTACAGGGCAGGGGCTTTATAGTGTGCTGTTACTGCACAGGAAGGATGTTTAACTTGACAAGTCATCTGTGCCATGTCTTTAGTGAATACTAGAAAGTACAATTTCAGAATGTAATGAGGAAATGTGGTAGCAGATGCTCAGCAAAAGCCTGCTCAGTCAATGTCTCCTCTAACTGGCAGTGGGTTTTCCAAGGAGGATGGTGAGAAATAGGAAGAGAGTGAAGAGAGGGTTCTTGGTATAGCTTGGAGAGAGCCCAAGTAACAAGACTGTCTGCAAAGGAAGAGTCCAGAAACATAACGACTTTAACACTTTACAGGCTAATAAAGGATAGAACAAACATGCTGTAAACTTAATTTTACATTGGCAAATTCCATGTACTGAGCTTAAAGAGCAGTCTGAATTATCTGCATCAAAACCAACCATACAGTATTAGAATATAGTAGTGAGGGGAGCTACTACCAACCTGAACCACTCACAGCTGCTTTCCTTTGAATCAAAGCCACAGGGAATTATTCTTTGCCTCCCATTACTTGACACCTACCTCTTGACTTCATCAGTTAACGGCTATACCTTTGCTATAGTAGTTGTCCCGGTGAAATCTCTGAAGTGGTAGGGATATGAAGTGGTTGAATATGGAAGTGAAGAATCTGTGGCTTTCTGAAAATGGGACTGGTTACAGATGATAGCAAAGGTGAAAGTTGCTCAAGGCTATGCATGTTCCAGAGCTGTAAGAGGGTATTTGGGCAAATGTTAATAGATTTTTGGTTCTGTGGGCCAGTCTGTAGCAAATCTGATACTTGCTTATGATAGCTGGCAATTAAAGTAAACCTTTGCCTCGCTTCTCCCTCATCTATCATGATATGCAAGCTATACTGTTTGGGAATGGGAAGCAGTGCTAAAGCAGGTTCCATCTAGTTTATGTCAGTGGCTGATCTTCTCTAATGAGGATCTGTTTTCAGGTCTATTAGCACAAGGGAATTAGACTGACCTTGTCAATGTAGGCACGTAGTCTTCAGGCCACATTTGAGGACTGTTAGTGCTCCCACAGAGCTGCTTCAGTGTTACAAAGTCTCTCTTTTTCTTTCTCTCTTTTTCTCCTTCTTCCTTTCTTCTCTCTCAAAAATGAACAACTGTTTGTCTGTAGCAGACACTCAGGAAAGGCAGCTTTAAAATTACTGCTTTTGGAGAAATGCATGCCGTTAACACATTCCTAAATTGTGTAGTTGAATGTCTTTGGACAGACATCTCTGTATGAAAATAACTATAAATCACATTGCATAATTGAACTAAGGTTTTAAGATATTGCCTGTGCTCTTGTCTGGCTTTCAGTCTTTCCTTTTTACACATCTAATGTGTATTTTATTTTAATCTGCTACTTATTTGACCATTTTGTGTTTACAAGGTGAGTCGAGACACAAGGTCTATCTCTAACTGGAGCTGAATGCTGCTGAGGAAGCTCCTAATTTTCCTATTATGAAGATTTATGTGGTGGCCCTTATATAATGGTAGGCAGAGAAAGTTGACCCCTCCGGACATACTCTGTAGGCCACTCCAGGAAATGCAGATGTGTTTGCCCAGTGTAGGTAGGGCTGGGTAACCAGGGCTGGATCATGAGAACTACCTTCTCTCAACACTGCTGTTCCACTCCTGTGGAAGAAGAAAAAATCAAGACCTGAAACATGGCTAGAAGTAATACATCTTCTACAGTGTAAAGTGTTGTGGGAACTGTAGAACAGATGCTTCTATGTCAGTGCAAGATTGCTACAAAATAGCTGCCACAATCACATCATGTTTGTTTTCAGAAATTGTAAACAAGTTTTAGACAAAGGTGAATTCGGAGTTAGCTCTAGCTTAGTGCTTACTGCAGACAGTGTAAGGAGTGGTACATGGCAGAGCAATGGATGGTCACACTACAGTTTCATGTACACAAGGAGGTGATATGAGCTGGTGCCACTGTAAAAAGTCATTGGTCTTGTTTCTATTTTCACTTTTCTTCTCTCTCACACCAGCACAAGTGTTATTTGAGCCATGAAGTGATCTGGATCCAGGTACTGATGTGATTGAAAACTACTTCAGAGGGGTGGGGGTGGGAAGTTGAGCTTTGATCCATGTCAGTTCCTCAGCTGAGTTCACTGCATGTCTGCAAGGATGCACCCAATGACAGACATGGATGGGAAAAGTGGCCAAGAACAGCAGTGGGCAGGATGGCATCTTTCAGTGGTTCTGCCAGCTAACGCAGAAAAAGAGTTGGTAAAACTATGACCCCAGTAATGGAGAGAGATATAAACCTTTGACTTAATCTGCTGATCTTTTTTTTCACTATCAGTTTTATCCTGAGATAAAAGGAACCTTGTTCTGCAGCTGGCAGGTCCTGTTGCTCTACAGCTATACATCTCTGCACTCCTAGAGGTCACTGTTGGGCTCATAAAGAGTTCTGTTGGTTTGTGCTGTTAAGCTGAAGACGTTGTGTCTGCTATAAGCTTTTCTTTTACAGATTGTAAATGTTTTAAGAGTGCCAAAGTTTATGCTCCTAAACACAACTCTGGAATTACTTTGCTATGGAAGCAAAGGCAACTTTGTTAGACTCCGTGTTCGTAGTGTGGGTTAGTGTTTTTAAAATAAAATTATGGGAGTTGCAGACACAAGCTGCACATGCACAAAGTGTATTGCTTAGAATCTTTTTGCACCATGGCAAACTTATCATTAGTTAGCTGAATGCAAATAGAAAAAGGTTGAAGTCCTGAGAATTTTGCTTTCTCACAGGTAAGATGGTAGATTCTGTGGCCTAAGTCAGATGGATTTTGAACCTGCGATGGCTGTTTAAGATTATGGTGGCCCTCAGTCTTACAATGAACAATTACTCCCTACCCAACAGTTACTTCAGGGCCCAAGATACTGCCTTATCAACTAAATATTTATATATATAAAATACTTGTCTGTACAAACATAATGTAGAATTTCTAACCTGCTTATTTGTTTTGAAATATGTCTGAGAATGTATTAATGCCTCTTGGTTTAAATAATTATTGATATAAACATGCCAGTATGACTCTTGCTTTGTGCATTCAGGGACAAATTTAAGATACTATTCAAGATAATTCTGTTTTGTTTTGTTTTGTTTTGTTTTCCGGAAACTGCTTTCCCACTTCGGCAACACTGTCCTAAATTGCTTTTTACTTTTTGTTATTAGTAAGCTTTCTTAATTTCCACACTTTGTTGCACGTGTCCTCAATGAATGAAGAAGGAAACAGTACTATTTGGATAGACATCTACTTTCACTTGGACTTCTGCAAAGTTTTTAGGCTGCAGATTCAGTTACATTAAGGTGTGGTCTGTGAGCGGATTTTGTACAAGTTTACCCCTAAGATAACAATAATAATATTACAGAATACTTTCCAAGTAGTCAAACTGTGACCCTAATGGAGAGAAGAGTGTGTAGCAGTACTTTTTAACAGTTACTTTAAATGCTCATATGGGAAAAGAGGCCCAAATGTGGTGTCGCAGATAGAATCCTGCTCGTTTCCACCAACCTTCATACTACCAAAGTACTGAAAAGGACCTCTGTGTAGCTGAGTATGACTGTCCCAATGGATCAGTATGCAGGTTTCAGTTTTCGTAAGAGTGGTGAAATGTATTTTTTTAAAATGCTTGGGTTTTTAATTTTTTTTAACTTTGTGGGAACATTTTAATTAAGTTTTGCTTTCCAAACCTGAAGACTAAGGTTAAAATAACCTTGCAGTTTACTGTGATATGAAAGGGTCAATGCTGACATAGCATTTTGCTGGTTTCTGTTGGCTTGGCTGGATGAATTTCATGCTGTTGTTGTATGTATCTGTTCTTTTATTTCAGCTCCACTTTGTGGCAATATGTAGCATTCCTCAAAAAATGTTTACATTTTTTGCTTCTCCATATACCCAATTAGCATGAGACATCTGATTTTGAAGCACTCAGACACTTCTTTCTCATGGCACCAAGGTCAAGCCCCAGAGAATCCACTAGCGTTAAATGTGACATGCAGCAGAAGGAAGAATTGGGCTTGTGTGCGTTTGTTGCTTCTCTGTCATGTGAGAAAGACTTTTTCCCCCATTCTTCCATAATAGGGTTTGGAAGATGCATGTGGTTTGGTAGTTTATTCCCCTACAGAAAATATAAAATATACTAAGCTTTCGCTAGAGAATTTATCCATGGCATGAATACAAAACAGAAGGGAGATCGTTAGCTTAGTTTAAGCTAATGCATTGTGCTTAGCAGTCAGGAGGTATGCAGCCACCTACAGCAGCTCTGCTGATGCGTGGGGAGCTCTCTAGCTGAGCTGACTTGGGTTTTTGTCAACCATCAGAACCCATGAATATCAGCAAGGAAAATCTTAAGCCCTTAGAAAGGTTGTTGCCTTCTGAAAAAAAAAAAGGAGGGGAGGAGTGGGATAGGGCTGGTGTTTGCAAGATGTTTGTAATGAGCTGAAACATGAATAGGCAGCGGTGTCAGGAAGCTACCCAATAAGGGAGCTGAGCAGAAATTATGCATTTTCTCAGTTAATCGGTTTCCTGGTGTAGGGACGTTATTCAACACATTCTCCATTCATTCATGGAATTTTTTAGGGCAAAAGCATCTGCCTTGCTAATGCTAAGCAGCACCCATAAGCCTCCTTCCCTCCTCTTTGGGGTTTGTTATTTTGCGTCTTCAAGCACAGTTTCCCACATCACAAGGAAGCAAACCAACAGCACAAATCCAATGTGTTTATCTCCCCCTTGCAGATAACATTCAAAAAGCTGAAACACTTCCTCCAGCATTGGGATATGGAGTTTTCTTTTCTGATTGTGCTTTTTTATTTCTTTCTTTGGGGTTCTTTTGTGGTTTTTTTGTTGTGTGTGTCTTTTTTTAATTCATTTAAGTTATTTCCTTTTGTAACATGCGGTTACAGAGTCAGGCACCGTGAGCACTGTACCTTGTGGCCTCACTTTCTTTTCCTGCTTTTTTCCTCCTCCGCAGATCCCTCATCCCGGCAGCACTGATCAGTCCCATACTTCCATGCAGCAAGGTTTGCACGTCCCTCACCCCAGCAGCCAGTCAGGGCAGCCATTACATCACAGCGGGCCTCCTACCCAGCAGTCCCGGCAGCCGCCCCCGGCCGCTTCTAGCAACCATCCACACAGTGACCTGACCTTTAATCCCTCCTCAGCCTTAGAGGGTCAGGCTGGTGGACAGGGAGCACCCGACATGCCGGAGCCCTCGCTGGATGTAAGTCTGTGTCATACTATCATCTGCCTGCCATAGCGTGTGCTTCGCATCGCGGCGGGAGGGCGGGGAGGGCGCGGGGACGGGGAGCCGCTTCCACAGCACATGCCATCCCTTCATGCTTTGGTACATGGGCACAGGTGCTGCAGCCGAGGTGACAGGGTGCTCCTGGCTTGCTGGGAGAACGGTTCTGGTTTGAGCAGCTGCGTGGTGTGTGAGCCATAGCCTCTTCCTAGCACCAAGGCAGGCATTTCTTCAGACGGCAGTTCAGGCACCAGGCTGGGAGCCATCTCCTCCCGTCCCCCTCATCGCTGGACGGGAGCTCCCGTGTGCTCATCTAGACCCTGAAGCCATCGCGGTGCCTGCATAAGAGGAAGGACGCAGCTGTGTGTGGTTTCTGACCGTGGCAGAGCTGTGCCAAGCGAGCTGCAGGCTGAGCCCTGCAGCATGCCCTGGCCGGTGGGAGGGGGATCTGTGCTGGCCCACCCTGTGGCACCGGCCCAGCTCCCTGTGGCCAAATCCAGGCTGTGCCCATGCATACCCGCTCGTGCGGGTAGCTCAGCAGCACAAGTTCTTCCTCCTGGTACGCCACATAGGAAGATAAACAGCAAGGATGTCTTTTGCCTCCTTAGCCACTATGGGAGGCACCTCACAAGTAAACAAAGATAAACCTAGTTTTAAGGCCAAAAGTAATCTTCTGTCTCTTACCATCCATTCAGTGGAGCCGGAAGTGAATTATCTGAGGTATCTCTCTGGTTAACCACCTACCTCCCAAAATATAAATTCCTTAGCACTAGGATCGGATTTTCATTTGAGTTGTGTGTTCCCGTATGTGTATCTTCTGTCTGTTCCAAAGTCTGCTGCTGCACAGTGTAATTTTCTGAGAGAAATGTTCGCCTCTGTGCCTTGGATTTATATCTGTATTCACTGTTGCTGTATACTTACGTCTTCCCTGTCACACACAAGCACTGTGCCGGCAGGTAGCCTCGCAGAGGGGAGGGAAGGGGTTACGGGAGGGATAGATGCTCCAGTTACAGGAACAGTGCTCAGTGGAGTAACTTCTATCTGAACCAGACTGCTGCTGTTTCACACAACACAGTCATATGCACGTCCTTTGGGAGCGGTAGTTCATATGGCAGTTAGAGTTCTGAACCCTTAAGGACCCCGTATGAGCAATATTAATAGGTGAAATAAAAATGTCTTTTTTTTTCTTCAAATATTTAAGCAACATAAAGTATGTTGTTATGGGTCAGGCACTCATTCCTTGGTGAAAAGCAAAGTAGAAAAACATTTATCACAGTACTGTGGTTATCACTGATGGAGGCATGCTGGATTCTTAATGGGAGGCTGAAATTACCTTAGCTAAATGAGAAGGCAAGTGCTATATAGTGGGGGCAACACAGTTTTTTGAAATATGTGTGAGCTCAATCATGAGCAGATGGATTATTTTAATGGGTTTACCTTTCAGTGGCTGTGTTGTGGAACCAGGCTGAATAAAGTCCCATGCAGCAAATGGAACAGGGGACTGTACCATGGACAACTTGGTCTGCTCCCTACTGACATGGTCACATTAATTCTTTAGGACTTCAACGTGATGCAGTCTAAGGTTTAACCTGGGTTAAAGGGTACATCTCATACAGATGCAGGTGACCTGCACTTGTACCTCAGGCAGCAGAGGCACCGAGAGTCCAATGACTGGTTAAACCTCTCAAGTATTCGCTTCAGGAGCACTGGGCGCACCTCTCCAGATTCTGCCTCTTAAGTCTAGCACATTCCCCATAGCTTCTGCCCCCTTCCCCCTCACAGCCCCCGGCGCTCCTCCGTCTCTTACCTCTGCTCCAGCACAGCACCCTCAATGCCCAGCAAGTCCTTTCTGAGGTCTCTGGTTTTCACACCAGCTGGGCAGCCAAGGCAAGCCGAGGTCACCCTCAAAACTTAGAAGACTTCATTTTCAGAGATACTGAGTATATTGTTTAAAACTTTCACCTTTCTAAAAAAATTTTTTTTAAAATCCCCTGTATACAAGAATGAGTCTCAGAGATGTTATGTTAAATTTTTAAGAATTGAGTTGTAAAATCATAGGACAAATTCAACCATATTTTACTTTCTACATGTTTGGTGGGGCTGCAGTTTTATTTTGGGCTTCTGTACTAGGTATTCATAAAAAATTATGATAGCAGGTGAAATACATTTAAAAGCCTTATATCTTTAGTCTAGTACTATGACAATAGTATTTCTACCATGAATAAAAGGAGGCGGTATTTTAAGAAAAGCATTCCTTCTGGGAGATTCTGTTTATGTAAACTTGACATTGCATTTTTTTCTAAATGCTTAGGAAGTAATAAACTTTTTTCTGCATTTCATGTTTAGCTTATTGAAAAATATGTTCATCCATATAACATTAGAAGACGAAGCTGCATTTACACAAGAGTAATAGAAGCACATAAATATAATATTTGCATGCTAAATGTGATGCAGTCGTGATGCAGTCAAGCTTTTAGTGTTATAGTACTTGAAAACATAGAATGACTTAAAATTAATTTCTCATCCCTACTGTTGAGTTTGTTAAAGCAGTCCATATTTTTCTGTGTTTGCTTTAATACAACCCTGAATATAAAGGGAGTTTATTACAAACTCTTCCCTGCTGTTTTTTATATATTACGACACTTTTAGTCTTGACTAGGATATGGTGAGATGCAGAATAAAGCAGAAAACATTGCCTGGTACACAATCCAGGAGTTACGATTTGCTTGTTATCTGTCAGATCAGAAACAATCTGAGTGATGGTTGGAAAGACAAAATTTTGTATTTGAAACACAGTGTTAATAAAAATATAAATAAAAGCCCCACAACTATTCCTTTTGATATTTTAAAACTTTGTGGAGGTCAGTGCCTCTTCTGCTGGATGGGGTCTTGTGCTCCTGACCCTTTAAAATGTCTGGAATTGCATGTAATGCTGTAGTTGAGAAGTACTTCCAACCATTGTAAACTCACTGCCACAGAAAGGAAGAGGACTCACCCACCTGCCTTGCCACTCCCCTCCCCAGGCCCTCCTTTCAGTTGGGTTTTTTCCTCTTTTTTTTCTTTTTTTTTTTTCTTTCTCGGCTAGTTTTAACCCTGGGTGAGTTCCCTGCTCCAGCTCACTGCCTCAGAGCTTACATCAGCGCACAGAGGCATTAGGGGTGGCTGAGGGGTGAGGAAAGGGTGCAGGCTTTGGGCGACCATCTCACTGACATGTGCAAGTCAGATAGACCAGTCTCTGTTGATTTACCTTAAAGCTCAAATGTGTATTACTCAAACTGCATGTTTCAAGTTTTTAATTCAGTCTTCTATATGAAACTAACATACATAATGAGCGTTTATCAAGAAGTTTCTGTCAGCATCGCTAGCCAGGAAATATACTTTGTTCATTGATGAACTTTGTGATGGGGAGGTTGATTGAGAAACCCTGATTGAGATGGTCATGTAATTCACAGGTGAAAACTGAATAATAGAGACTTTCACGAACAAGTGGATAATGCATCGTCTTAGGGTATTAGGTTTGTGTCGCTGCCTTCTGATTTATTTGGATATATACATATGAAAGCCAGTTTCCAGGAATGTGTGGTCTTTAATCCCTTTTTTTCTCAATTGTGTTTCTGTTATCTGTAATTTTCCTTTTATCTCTATATTTTATAGCTGCTTCCAGAACTCACAAATCCAGATGAGCTGCTTTCGTACCTGGATCCTCCTGATTTGCCAAGCAATAGCAATGATGACCTTCTGTCTCTCTTTGAGAACAACTGAAACCATATGTATTCTCCCTTCCCTTTCACTTGTTCACACGTGTGTGGCTGCACAGCGAGGAATCTTAACACTCCTTTTCCACAAGAGAAGAAAAAAAACTCACAACTTGATCCAATGGTGCACTCCCTGCTTTCTTCATCTCAGAACTGCTTTTGTTAGCTTCAAAGACTGCGAAAGTGACGGGAGAAAAAAATAAAAAAAATAAATAAATGCAGTAATCTCCGAGTCTGCCGTGCTACACGTGACAAAGAAGCATAGACAGTTGTGCAGCTATTGGAAACCCCATTTGTTGTTCATCCTCTAGAGAGAGAGTTCTGTGATAAACATAGTGTGAAGTATCTTGGCAAAAATGAATCTTGGCAAGGGAAGAAAAGGCAACAAAATGGAACTGTCTTTAATTGACCCATCTCAGAGTGTCCTTCCAACGCGTGTTCTTCCATTTTTTTGAAACTGTATCTCCCTCCACCCCACCTCCCCTCTGCCCCCCTCCAACCACAGGTTTGTGTTGGAGCGATTGTCCTGGCCACACACAAAAAGAAAAACAAAAACACATACAAAGCTCCGAAAAGCACAAATCCTACAGTGAAGTGGCAAAGATAGGGAAGACCTACAGGCCCATCAGAGGGAGCCAGCAGTTTAGCTAATGCGACTTCAGTAACGGAGTCCTGAGAATTTCCAGGCTGCAGCCGTGGGTGTTGGTATTTCTGCAAGTGCAGGAATCTTAACCACCTCTTTGCAGAGGATTCCTCTGGCCAAACACACAGATTGGAAACACCCAGGAAAAATAATAATAAAAGTTTGCCATGTTTAGGGATTTTTTTGTGGTTTTGGTTTCAAATCAGTACCGTTTGTGGCTGCGTTAACATCCAGCTGCTGAGGTTGCTGCAATAGATCTTTTTGCCATGTATGCCATACGGAATGGAAAAGAGAGGGAGGGGGGATGCAAACCAAACTGTTCCTGATTATTACCTACAGCCTTCGGTGCCCAGAGCGTTTGTGTCACTGTGTGTACTGCACAATACATACATAGTAAGACAAGCTGGGTTGAAGGCAGCCAGGAAGTCATTGCAGGATGGAGGGAGAGTAACATCACTATCTGCATAATTATTTTTAATAATCAGCTTGAGAAGGGGCATTGACATTGGACAGACATCTTGCAACTTCATTTTTGTTTTGCTTTGCGTTCCGTTTTCGTGACTGTTACAGATAATTCAGCCTTTTTCTTTTCTCCTCCTTCAGTTTCTTTTTTTAAACTTTGGCTGCCGGGATGAGCTCTTTCTCCTGAAGGACCGGGCATGGGGAGAATAAGTAACTGTTGGTAGATTGCTACTGCCCTCAAGAGACCCTGCTGCCACAATCACTGTCTTGCCCCTGTGATCTGTGCTTCTCGTGTGGTTGCTGCTCCTGCATGAGCTTCCTATTGCTTCTGTGCCCATTTCTGTGCTCTTCGTCTCTCTCTCTCTTTCTCTTTCTTATAAATGATGTACAGTAGCTGTGTAAGAAGTGCATGTGTGCCAACTTTGCCCTTGTGGTGCAACATTTCAGCTTTTGCCCACTGTACAGTTATTGGTTTTGTTTCTTTTTATTACTAAAGCAAATTTGATCCTACTCCTTTTCCTCGTCCCAAATCCAATCAAACACCCTTTGTTTGCTCGCCACAATACGTTTTAAACTGAAGTGCCAGGCAAAATTTTGTTTGTACCTGTCGGTTTGACTAGATAGCTTCCTAGCCCTCTGTGTTTAGTTTGCAATGCTGTAAATGGCATGCTCTGTGCTTATGACTCTGGATTTGCTTTCCTCACCAAAGTCATATTTGTAAATTCTTTGCGGTTTTTGTTTTATTTTGCTCTTTTTGTTAACGTTTCCCACTACTGCTGTACATGCGTTATGATATATATATGCTAGTCAGCAGCACCTTGCTGTAGATATTAAAGGAAATGGCGGTTTAGTTCTTTTATTTTCCAGTAGGAGTATTGAATCTGTCAAACATATTATGTAGAGATGGTCCCACACTTATATTTTTCCTGTTTCAAGTTTTTTTAAGAAAGGCGCTGTTCATTATGCAAAATCAATTATTTTAAGAATTGCTATTGTAAATATCTTTGTGAATATTTTAGTATCGTCTTTGATAATATTCAACATTTTCATGATCTGGTTATACTTTTGCTGGTGTTTTTAAATACCTTGTCTGAAGATAAATATGGGTCCTTTTTTAAAAAAGAAAATTGAGGGTTCTTTAACAGAATAAGGGAGTTGTGTTTTTTTCTTTTTTTCCCCTGTTTTATTTTGATGAATTAGCCGAAATTTCATATCCATTTGTGTGATGAATGAATTGATACATCAGGCAGTACCTGGACAATCAGAGCCCAGCTCTGTCGTGGAAACATAAAAATAAGTGATTGCCTAGGGAAAAAAAAAAAAAACAACTAACCAACCGATATTCATGGACTGTGGTGACTGTGGGCTGGTCATGGCAGAGATTTTGTTCGTTTGCCCAAGTGAGCGGAACACCTAGCACCAGCTGTCTGAACAGGTAAAGATGCACTAAGGCAAGCAGCAAGTATGTAAGGTACCATATTTATATCACTATACTGGTGCTCCGGTCTCTGAAACTGGGGCATGGTAACACTTAGGGATGTTGGTGGGTGGGGGAGGGAAACAGTATAGTATATTTTATTCTGCTTAGAAGTGTCTTTTTTTCTTATGTAGGCTTGACAACCTGTAGAGGTTCTCTGCAGAATATTAATGATACCTTGGTGTAATACATGGTAATATGGTTGTGGTGTGGTGCTGCTATCACACAATTCCTAGGAAGACCGTTCTTCAGTTACAGATGTGTTTTTGTAGCCATTTTACTGTAGTCGTTTCCCCCTGTATTTCTGCTGCATTGTTTATATAGGTATTGAAGTCATTTGCAGGGGTGGCTAATGATAAACTGACTTTATGCCCTTAGAGTTTGGGGTTTTTGTTCGGGGTGGGGGGGGGGGGGGTTTTTTAAGCCATAGGTTTGGGAATAAAGAAGATTTCTCACTATTGGTTGGAACTGGTTGCTCAGGTTTTTTTGATTGATTCTATTTAATGTTCCACCCTCCATTGATTCCTGAGCAGCTAAGTTAAGTCACCTGAAATGATTTTTCTCTTAAACACAACATTAGTATTTTAAACCAGGTATGTTAAGGATTGACCTTTTGCTAACTGGTAGTATTTAAAATGTATCATTTAAAAGTACCTGTTGGAAAGCATAAAGGGGGAAAAAAAACCCCACTATAGATATTAGCAATACGTTTGGAGCAGTGTTTGCATCTGCTTTGTACAGTAATAGAGAATTAAAGTGGACGGTTGACATTTTTAAGCTTACAGAAACGTTTGGTTTCTAAGCAGAACTTAAGAGAGAAAATACATTTTTTACCCATCACCCAAATGTTGGACATTTGAGACAGTTTTAAAACTTGTCTGTCAGCTAAAATCAGGTACTGTATAGTGGAGTCAGTATGAAAAAGCTTCTAAATGAAAATTTAGTTATTTTTTTATCTGTTCACTGCCGTATTAAAGTTTAGAGAAAAAAACCTAGCAAATAGGGTAATCACAGTCATTTCTTTTAAAGCTTAATTATTATATGAAATTCCAGTAGTATTTTTATTCTTCTTTTTTTTTGTTTGTTTACTTTTTAATTGTTTCCCTATGGAAGTTCATCTGGGAAAGAACCCACAGAGATCTACAGTTCTGCTGCCAAGACATTATTATAGGACTGACAGATACACGCCAATGTCTGCAGCGGAGACTCAAGGGACAGCTGTACATATGTAAATGACAAATAGAGACATGTTAACAGAAATGCATTCATTTTCCTTGGAATGTGCATTGTTTTTATTTCGCAGGAAAAAAAAAAGCTTGAAGCTCCATCTTATGTGGAAAATGAATCCTGTTTGTTAGCGTTTGTGGAGTCTCAGCATTTGTTTCACTTTCACTTCTGTAATATACTCTGATCTTTTGTTTTGTTTTATCTACATGTAATATTTAGCTTATGTGTACTAGTCTATCACCTGTGTATTTTTAGGGTGCTACAGAAATAATGAAGAAAAATAAGGGGATTAAAAAAAATTGTAACCAAATTCATACTTTGTACAATTTTTGATATCACGATCAGAGAAGAATTAAAAAAAAAAAAAAGTACAATCTGAAGTAACATGCAAAAATGGCCATTGTCTTTGTTTGTACATTGTATGTACAGTACAATGCAATCATTTCATACTTTAAACTGGTCAGAAAAAATAATTGTGATTTTTAGTCTTGCAAAACTGTATGTAGTTAGATGATGTGACAACCTAATATTTATCTAATAAATATGTATTCAGATGAAACCTGTATATTAGGTGTTCATGTGGTTATTTTGTATTTAAAGATCAAATTATTTGACTATTGCTAGACATTTATATACTCTGTTGTAACACTGAAGTATTCTCGTTTGCTCATGTTAATTTTTTTTTCCTAAATAAATCTACAAAATTAAGGTCTGGCTAATTGGCAGCTGCTTTGTAAATTTTGAGTTTCTTTTTGAAATAACCAACTTCCCCTTTGCCCTCCCTGGTCTGTGTTAATGTGGAAGTCAGCTGGGCAGGATGGACCTTTTCAGGGACCAGGACTTGCTGCAGGAAGGGAAAGGGGCAAACACCCTGGAAGAGGCACAGAATAAAAGATTGTGAATGCAAATTTACTGATAAGCATGGGATCACATAGAAAAATGTCCCTGCTGAGCAAGATATTGGCAACTTGCAGTTCAGTACGCAGGGCACTGTGTATCACCTAAACAAGTAGTACTTAAAAAATGGCCATGGCATGCACAGGTCGTGTCCCGGCGGAGTTCTGCGCCCATACTTAGCCACGGCCACAGATGCCAGTCACTTTGCATCTGAGAACTTGTTTTAATAGAGAATTACTGAGTATCTCTGCATTTGTATGTGGCATTTGTGGAAGTGTTTAGTCTAAACCCACCTTTGAAATGCATTCAAATACATGGGAACAACCTAACCATTTCAGAATATCAGTATCTATACAAGTATGTAATTGAGATACAGCAATTCCTCTACAGCTCCACAAGCACACAAGTCCTTACTGTTTGTTGAGATACACACAAGTATGTATACATACATATATTTTTTAAAAAATCTAGACTAGAGATTCATTGTCTCGAAACTAGGAAAAATCATTTGTTTCTGACTCTCAACTTCAGCCTTCCTTGCTGGCACTACCCATTACAATGGGCTTTTAGGACACCATAATAAAACTGAGTTACAGGGCACTCGGTAGTGAAACAGAAAAGATATTTATCCATGCCAGCCAATAACTAATGAATGTTTTGGTTTTGGTGTTCTGTTTTCCTGGAAGCTCCCAAGAAGTGTCAGCGAGACATTGTGCAAACCCGCTTCGGCACTGTACAGATGGAGAAAAGTACGAAGAGCTCGAGTGATGTCCTTAAGCTCTGTACATTTTTCAAGCTTACTTTGAAGGCTGAGGAGGCTATGACAACTCTGAAAGTGGAGTTTCTCCCAGATGTCACCCAAGGAAGGATCCCAGGATAGGTACGATGTGTGTGTGTATCCAGTTGATGCTGGTGTCTCCCGTCCCGCGCTCTGGCAGTGTGTCTGTGCATCGTGCACTCTGTGCTTCCAGGCAGCCACCTACATGAGTATCTGTCTGTGACTTCTCTGCTTACCAGTGTGCTTACCAGTTGTTGAACAACTTCAGAACACTCTTACTTCCTTACATTTTTTCTCTACTCTTCCTAATCAGTATGGATCTCTG